GGGTAGACACAGTTTTCGACCGTACAAGTTTTGACGAATTTGTCCCATTTTGCACCGAGTAGTTCCGAGTACATCCATGCATTTTAAATGTAAACTCGAAACCACTCAAAACACTCAGTTGACTTTGACAGTTCTCTGTGTATACTACACATTACACTGAACCAAATGGCACCGAGTAGCACCGAGTAGATTACAATAGCAGCCAACATTGATTACATCAATAACCAATCACCGCGATAATCTCGATCATTAAACGTCAAACCAACAACTCCAAACATTTTGACGGGAACTACATTGATGAGTGTATTCAATGCAGTGTCAAACATAGTCGTCATTGTGTTGTGTGGTGAAATAATAATTATTATTTGAATTTTAAATAAATAAAATTGATTCGATTTTGCCAAATGAAATTGTGCAAATATTCCGCTGGCACACAAGACAAAAAATTGCTTTCTTTCGGTAGATTAAACCCGTATTTATGAAAAATTGTTTTTCTTCCATTTTCAATTGAGTTGTATGAGAGAAAATTACGGTTTTATATGATATATTGGAGTTTCCATAATAATTTAAAAAAACACAAAATGTTAGATTCAAAATAGAAACTGGTTCGTGGCAGAATTGTTTTTTTTTTTTAATTTTGCGGACCATACTGAGAAAACGTTTGCGTTCGAACAGAAAACTACACTGAAACAGAAGTCGATTTAACATTAGCTGTCAAACCAGCAAGATGAACAAGTGCGTTTGTAAAGTGAGCTCGTTCACTCCGTGTCAGCAGGTTTTGGACGAATTTAATTTTGCAAATGATGTTGTTCTTAGTGTAAGTAACCAATATTACAGTGTAATAATTTCAACACCCAATTACATTTTTATTCTACGTTTTTGCAAACATGAAGTTTAAAAAGGCTAAATAAGACTTTCGTATTAATAAAAATCAAAGAGATAAATCAAACATTGATTCCTCAGCAATAATTAATAGCGGCCGATCCAGTTGGAGCGGCAACTCTACAAATTCACCATGGAGCGGCTAATATTGTTCTTCAAAAGAAAAACTATAATAAACGAATTAGAATTTTCTGAAATTAATTTAATCAATGAAAGTAAGAATATTACTTTTTTATACATTTTCATTAGTTGAATTTTTTGTTTTGATATATAATACTAGCCGCTCCATGGTGAATTTGTAGAGTTGCCGCTCCAATTGGATCGGCCGCTATTAGTTATTGCTGAGGAATCAGTGTTTGATTTATCTCTTTGATTTTTATTAATACGAAAGTCTTATTTAGCCTTTTCAAACTTCATGTTTGCAAAAACGTAGAATAAAAATGTAATAATTGGGTGTTGAAATTATCACACTGTAATATTGGTTATTAATGTAACCAATGTAGTGAAGCAATGCTAAATACCTTAAATTTATTAAATGTAAACCAGATAATTTTATTCAGAACTTTAACATTCATATTCAAAATAATCAAGGGGCTGGCACCAAATTACCTAACTGAAAAAATAATTTTTAAGCATGAAACCACAAACAAAACACTAAGAAACACAAATGAAATTTGTCTAACAGATGCAATTAAGGCTTGTAGCCAAAACTCTTTATTTTATAAAGGAATTAAATTATTCAACACACTTCCGATAGAATTAAAAAACCAAGAAAATTTAAATCAATTCCAAACAATGTTGAAAACATACGTCAAAGAAATTTTTTAATTGTTAATGCTGTTCTATGGAGAAATCTAAATAAATAAATATATTATATTATATATTGGTTACTATTGTAATCAATTTCGATGGCCGCTCCAAGAACGCGTATGTTATGTGTTACGTATGAAACTATGTTTTTATTATATTCCTATTGTGCCGAACAAAGGTGATGAAAATAATAGTGACACTTGAATCAAAATACTTTTAATGTTATAATCATATTTATTTAGAAAAAGTAAAAAAAAATGAAATCATGAAATATATGACCGATCCAGTTTTTGTGTGGCCGCTCCACCAGCATGATTGTTAATTGTGCAGCTGACCAACTGACAAGCAAACTGCAGCGCTAGTGTTAAAATTTTCAATCCCCCTGGATAAATAGGTTGGCGACATTATTGTGACCTGAAAAATAATACAGATCAATGAAAAAGATTAAAGCGGTATTTAATTTAGTCAGCAGTACCATGGTTAACAGCTAACTGACGAGGTGTTAGATTCAAAGTATTTCTGATATCAACTTTGGCTCCTTTTTTTATGAGAACTTCAGCAACATTTTCGTGACCTTAGAAATAATTTGGATCGATGAAAAAGATCAAACCGACTCTTTATTTTGTGAAAATACTTATTCAACATTACCATTCATAGCAGCATAATGAAGAGGCGTATGATTGTATTTAGACATGACATCCATATTGGCGCCTTTGTTGATGAGA